TATTATCGTTAACTTAAAAGAACATAACATATTTTGGACTTCAAACAAGAGTAGCGACACATGCGTACACGCCGATGTTCTGCCAGTGACTTATTTACGTAGCCCGTGGGGAGTTAGGAAGCTAGAAAGAGCGCGAGCACGCTCCAAGTACTCTAAGACATTTTTTTTTTTTCAACTTAAAATGGCCTTGACCCTATGCGCCTAATTAAGGGTTAAATTGCATAAACGAAGTTATTTATATAAACTTTTTAGTTTTGTTTAGTTCCTGAAGAATTACCTAATTGTTTTATAGCGATTTTCAGTAACTTTGTGTCTTTTCTCTTCGATACAAGAATCTCCCAAGATTTGGCTTATATCAATAGATTCTTCCTTCGACGCAGAATCTCTAACACCATAGTATGGTTTGAAAAAGATTTTAAAACTAGTTTTTTCAAACTTATTACACCCGATTTACATGATTCAAGTACTCTAAAGCAATTCTGGTACATTTTCTTTTCGGTTTTCTATTTGCGAAAATGGCAAAAGCAAAGAAAGAAACTTGAAACCACTTGACAGTACAGACACATATCGCACCCCAAATCAAAAACCGGCACAACTCAAAATTTTTCCAAACTTTTTTCTTTTCCATAAAACAGTTCACAGACCATATACCCAAATCCGCCAAAATTACTTCTTCATCAACTGGAAAAATACTTCTGCTCGATTGCGCAGCATCAACAGTTTTTTGCCTCTCCTGAGCATTTAGGATTTTTTGAAATAAAATTTTTTTTTTTTATATGACTGTTTTAGAACTCACCAAGAACGAAAATTTGTATGCCGCTAAAGTCCTCTCAAAGTAAACTTTCAAACTAGGGAGATAATATAAAAGTGTTTTCTATCACTTATACCATAAGAATTGGCAGGCAACCTCGAATTCCTTTTATATAAACTGTAAACAAAATTTCAAGTCATCTGAAGTATGTTGAGTTATACTTGCAACAATGCACTTTCAACATGGGCTGACGATCATACGAATTGGCAGGCAACTTTCAGTCCATTTTCTGTACACTTTAAATACAATTCTATCAAAATTTCAAGCCATCTGAATTTTGCTGACTTAGGCACTCCGCACATTACGCGCCTAATCATAGTAGAGTAATCGTTTTGTCATGTCAAAACGAATGCATTACGACTCGACTTCTGCACACTTGGGCGCCCTGCGTAAGCCCTGCTGGCGCATACATTACACATTTTCTGGCCGGTCTTTCTCACTAATACACTTCCGCGAACATTTCTGCAATAAAATATTGCATAAACATTTATGGCTTAATACAGTTGGCACGAATTTTAGCACAAAATCATTAATTTTCAATTATTTCCTACTGAAATGACAAATAATTTTTATTTCGAGCACAAAAAAGTAAACAAATGCCGATATCAAAACGGCAAGCGCCTTACAATGTTGGGCGCGTCGACTCATGAAGTTTTTATGATTAGGCGAAAACATGATTATGAATCGTAATATACAGAGCTTCATTGAAATGCATGTGTTCGGTATAAAAGCTTCATACTTTAGTACGACGGAACGATTACACTACTATGACTAGCCGTTTAATGTGCAGAGTGCCTTGAACTTGCAACAACGCATTTTCAACATGCTGTCAGTAATTTAAGACCATAAGAATAGGCAGGCAACCTTGAATTCCTTTTATATACACTGTAAATACAATTCTATCAAAATTTCAAGTCATCTGAAGTATGTTGACTTATACTTGCAACAATGCACTTTCAACATGGGCTGGCAGTACTTTCAAGACCATCAGAAGGGGCTGGCTGTAGAAATTTCATATATTTCTAATATTACCAATGTGCTGTTAAAAGGACAGCGCATCTGATGTATGGGGTGTGTTCAGTAATGCATTAAGACTTGCAGTATTTGCAGAGTTGGCAGCACTGCAGATTTGATGGTTGATGCAGCTGATAGAATTGTTGACAATTTGCAAATAGGTTTGTTGCATTTTTGAACACCTTCTTTACTAACATGGAAGTGTTATTAAGTTTAATAGTGGACGATATTTGTGAGCCAAGAGCTGATAGTTTTTTATTGAATGCAAGAAAAAGAAAACTTTTAAAGTTTAAAAGAAGATTTCTTATTAAAAGGCTATCGCTAAAGCGAAAAATACCTAAAAACGAGACATTTTTTAAAACAATAAAAGCCTTTCCCGAGGACATATTTTATTCTCATTTTCGGATGAATTGGTCCACTTTCAATGTAAATTTTTACATGTTTTAGCACAAGTAGTATTTTGTAATCAAAGTTATTTTAATTAAGGCTTTGAAAGACGCTTTGTCTCCAACTTGGGTAACTGCAAGGTTTGGCCGCTGTGGTCATTCATTAGAAAAATGTCTATACGTAACATTATGGAAGCTATGCAATAGCAGGGTCACCTTTCGCCAGTTTTCGGATCGTTTCAACATTGCGAGGGGAACAGCGTACTCTCTGGTCATCAAAACAATCAAAGCCATTTGTAATTTGAAAAGCGAAATTAAATGGCCATCTGTTGAATATCAGCAAACTCTCATGACGAATTTTGAAAACAGCAGAGAAAATCCGTTTCCTTTCGTAATTGGATGTTTAGATGGAACATATATACTTATGTACTTCCATATAATTAGTTTACTTTTCTAAATTTTCTTACTGAACACGGAATAAATCGTTTTTTTATACTTCATTTTCATTTAATTTAATTTAATAAAATATATTAAATTAACATCACATGGTTTCAATAATAAAAATAAAAAAAGATTTCAATCTAGAAAGGTTAAAAAGGTACATTTCACAGCTTCATCTTATGACTAATAAAAAATAAATTCAAAATCTACTTTTGCAGACATCGGTTCAATATTGATTTTAATTCCAGCAACGCTTGGATTCGCTCTTTCTCCAGTGAAAGTTTCCCCCTCTCCACAGCCATTGCTTCATGTCGGGTTTGCTCTTTAATAGCTTCTTCTTCAAAAAACTTTAATATTTCGCAGTTTGGGTTTCTCCGAGGATGTGGTGCTCTACGACTTGAAGTCGGTGGAGAATTGGGTGGTTCAACATTACCTTCTTCTAGGCGGCGACGATGGTAGCTCCAACGACGCTTGCAGATTTTGTGGCGGAGGATTGATGGAGTGCCTGGTACCATACACCTCGTCAAAATCTTCAAAATATAGCCAAGATGTTGCTTCCCTGCCGGAGGAATTATTGCGCTTTTTATACGTTTATACGATATCAGCATATTTAAAAATTTTCTTTGTGCGATGTGTCTGTCTATGTTAATGTCTCTGTTGATTTTTTTTACTTCTTCCACCACCTTATTCCATAGAACGCTCTTTTTTCTCCTTCCAGATGCAAATTCGTCTTCCATATTTAATCGAACTCTAAGCAGCAACTTAACTTCAGCCGTACTAAGATTTTCGCTGAAAATAATAAAAATATAATATAAGATTGTTTCAAGACTATACGTTCAACAAATTTTCATTGTAAAAATTACAGAAAATTAGTTTTGTACTCACTTTTCTTCCGACGTGGTACAAGCGTAATCAGCGGCAGTGTAATTTTTTTTTTATGCAAATGATGAGCGACGCTTGATAGAAAAATGGCGTTTTAGAACGCTCGACATTTGCAGTGCTACCATATTAGCATTTCTGAACGTTCTGCTGGTCCTGCAAAAGCAGTATGCGCATTATACTGCATTACTGAACACCCCCATGTTGACTTATACTTGCAACAATGTACTTTCAATATGGTCTGGAAGTACTTTATTACCATAAGAATGGGCAGGCAGCCTTGGGTTAATTTTCGATATAGTGTAAATAAAATTCTATCAAAATTTCAAGTCATCTGAAGTATGTTGAGTAATCGGTTTTTATTGACATTTTTAATAGCTAAAACGCATGGTCGAGACCGCTGTTCAGCAGCCAGCCCTGCGGATCTCGATTAATATATTAACAAGTTAAGCTCACAAAAACATTTCAATCGATCTGAAGAATGATGGGTTTTTTGGTCATGAGCTCTCCGTCTATTACCAAAGTATGAGATACATGTGAATATGTTAAATGCATTTCGGGGTATTATTGTAAACATGAGTCTAAAAATCATTTTATACATCATCATCTTCCAGTTTTTCGCAATAAACTTTCGACTGAATTCATGAGGTGGCTCTAACGATGGAAATTCGTTGTACTGAAGAAAAAGAGGCTTCTTAAGAAATGGTCGCAATTGGTTCCAGTTCAAGTATATATTATATTATCAGAATATAGAAGTATAAAAAAGAATCCTACATGGATTGCCTTGTGCTCTTTTCCCACAAAAAAACTTTAGAAAACCGTAGTAGAAAGCGTTACAAATTTCTTAAGAGCTGCGTACTGCCTTAAGGATATTTGACACAAGGAAATTTCTTTGCCATTTCTTCTTCGTCATTTTATATGGAGTTCTTGCTTTTGATTAGAGTTGGATACTAAGCTTATAAGGGTGCGGGGAAAGGTCCTAACGCAAGATTCACCAAAGAGTGGCAGAAATACACTCAGAGGCTTGCCATTGCCTGCCAAAGGGCGACCGCTATCAGAAACAAATTTTCCTTTATTTTGTTTTTGATGTTACGCGGAATGGTAATGCGCACTTCTAACCACTACACCACAGCGGGCTGCGTTCATACTAATACTCTAAAGCTGTCAACGTCCTTATTGGAAAATATTATATTTTATTGCAAACAAACTTTCAAGTAATCCGTTTCGCTTATAAGCGTTCGTCAACTAGACTTAAAGGAATTAGTATCGTGTACAATTATGTGTAATATGTTAGTAAATATAAGTTTATGTATAGATACAAATGTAAAATCTTTTATAAAAAACCTTTGCACAAAAAGTTGTGTTGTTCTACAAAATATCTCAACATATTTAATATTGCAATTACATAATCATGTGAAAGTTAAAACATTTGTTTTAGTAGTATCTTGAGAATTGCTTTAAAAGTTCACCTGGTAAGCCTTTGCCTTGCTTTCTCGCCTTTTTAGCTTCTGCTCAATAGAACAATGAATCGTGAATCCATTTTAAGCAATTTGGCATTGTTTTTACATTTTTCATCCAATTTCATATTCAGTAGTGATTGATTGATGCCGTTATCAAAGGTAATGTTTTCGTTTCACATTGTATTTTGCATAATTTGTTCGGTTCGTTTTCATATTTGCATTAATTCCAATTTGTTTATTTTATTTTAGATTGCGAATTTTATTTGAATATGTTCGGTTCATTGTGGTGGAGGTAGATGAGGAGATCAATGAGGTATCATTAAAATCACATCATGCGACATGTATGAGCAGTATATGTAAAAAAAATAAAAAAAAATAAAACATGAAAGTAATATAAAGAGCGGAAAGTGACTGAAGAAAAGGAAGAGAATATCTGGTCAAAGTTATACATTTTTAATTCCGTATTACACAAACATTTACCGATTTAAAGTGAAACACGCAAAGATTTTCAATGAAGAACAATTTAGGGGTTCAACTTATTTGTAGAAGTAATAAAAATGCGATAACAAAAGTGTATTCAAACAGTTATAATTATGAAGAATAATCAATAGTACTAGCAACCCAGATTTAATGTGCCAATGCAGGAACGTAGCCTAGTTCTAAGTAATCAATTATTTTGATAAGTACACGAACAGTGTATGTACTTCTAAGATATGAACGTATGTATATATATACCTTCACACAGTCAAATCGAATAACTTTGCGATTATAAAAGAAGAAATGAAAACACAACTATTGGCTTCTTCGCCATGAAAAGTATTTAAACGGGGTATATATTAACATTTGTCAAACTTCACTGTCATGTAAACTGGAAGGCGCGGTAAAATTAAATTAGGGTGCGTTCAGAAATGCATCAAGCCAAAGCATCAGTCTCTTTTATTTCTAAACTTTAATTGATAGAAATGTCAAATATGCACAACCACGGTTATAAGCCGAATCGGAACTTAGTTGCGTAAATAAGACATTTCCATCAATTCTAGTTTAGAAATAAAAGATACTGATGCTTTGGCTTGATGCATTTCTGAACGCACCCTTAGTCTGCCGAAATAATTAATCTTTGCTCACTGCATATCACCCATTGTACGTAAGCTATGGTCGAAGTAATCATCCACCTAAGCAAACAAATACCAATGCGGTGTGCACTATGGATTGCCCGTTCAACCGAAATCAGCTGTATAAAGTCAGGCCGATTGAGCATAGATTATGTTAGCTATGGCTTTATTGCGTAAGAAACTTCCTAGTACGCACAATTCAGGTATTCGGCGATGTGGCCATCAAAGTTTTCCGATTTGTGAAGATATACCAAATACCGGGTACATGTGAACCATTTTGCAACTTAATAGTCGTTCCCACAAATCGGGTCTACGTAACGGGAACGACTCATTTTCACATTTGGACAAGGACTACAGTATCATTATCAAAAAACTATTTGGAGAATATGTATTTTGTTATAACAACTTTAGAGAAATTAAGACCAGATATGTCAAGTTATGTCCAAGCTATCACTTATTTTGTGTTAAGAAATAATCGAAAATTACCGCGGAAATATTTAGTCCTGCAAGCGGTGAGAAAAAGAATATTTGAATGATACTTTTTTCCTGGATAACCAGTAGTAAATTTGTACCTCTACAGAAATTGGCGAAAATACACTACAATAGAAATTGGTAGTGACATACACATACAGAAGCACGGCAGAGAACAAATTAAAAAGTTTACGCGCAATGCTTCTTTTTTATAAATATCTCTGGAAAAAATGTGTGTTAGTAAATTCTGGGTAGAGATAAATTGTAAACACTTTAAAAACGAACAAAAATTAAGATATGAACTCTTTATTGTATGTATATTAAAGTACTGACCTTTCTTTCTCTTTTTCAGTTCAGCCTCTTGTTCGTCAACTGCAGCACCCAGTAGTGTGAATATGATACCCGCTTGTGAATTTACACCAACAGCCGTGACTATCATTTTTCCGCTACCCTCCATAACGTGTGTACCAGAAAGTACCGTAGGATCGACGTCGACACCCTTCTTTACATGATCTGATTCACCCGTTAATGATGACTCATCAACCTTTAAATAATATGCAAAAACAATAAGAACCGCAAAATAATGCGACAGCGATATTACTTACCTTTAGATCATTACTTTGAATAAGGATACCGTCCGCTGGTAACAAGTCCCCGTACTTTATCTGTGCAATATCACCAACTACAATATCACCAACAGATACTTGGCAAACCTCCCCACCACGTATAACCGAAAATTTATGCTCGCCTTCAATACGATTTTGCAAGCCTCGAAATTGCCGTTCTTTCGAATAATCATTGAATGCTGTCACAAATACTACAACAATAACCGAGATCAAAATCGCTAGGCCTTCTATCCAGCCATGGTGGTCTTCTTCTTCTTGCAGGAGGGCTGCAATATAAAAACGATTGATTGAAAGTTGCACATTTGTGAAAAAAGGCTTCAATTTATTTCAGATAATATCCAATTAAATGAGATAGTAACTAAAAAAAAATGACTCACGTGCATCTTCATCGGCGGGTTTGTAAAATGATAAACCAAGAGAAACTAACGCAGCTACTTCTAAAATAATTAGAGTGACATCTTGCAGCGCTTCCCAGACTAATGTTAAAAACGTTTTTGGGGGTTTCGGTGGGATAACATTAGAACCAAATGTTTCACGCCTATGTTCAATGTCAGTTCGGGTTCCTCGTAGACCTTGAAATGTTTAACCAGATGGAAAGAAATTATTGATTTCGATTGATTTAAAGGCTTAAGAGCAACTTACCCTCGTTTGGTGATGTATACAACTTGTCGCATAATTTATTGACACCGCCAAATTCGCTTAGCTTTGCTACGCCTTCCCTACCTCGATGCTCCATGAGCTCTCGAAGTTGTTTAAGAGAAATCCCATATTGCGCCGGTCTACCATCTATTGTGGCCATTTGTTAAAAGGAAGTCTAAAAAATATAAAAATATGCAATGCTAGTAGAGTTCGCGTTCTATGCAGAATATGCATAACTACCGTATTTATAAAATACATGCGAAAATCCCAAATAGAATTTAGTTAAACGAGTTAAGAATGTCGTTTAACACAACGCAAGAATGCACCTTTCACAAAATTGAATTCCTTAAAATTGTAATTTGGCACAACGCAAAAGTGCACTATGTATGACATTGAATTGTTTAAATTGATAACTTGCATATTTATATTTACCTATTAGTATCTTCAATTATCCAACTTGTAAAACGTATTTAGTGAATACCCTAACTTGCATTGTAAAAGTTTTATAAGTAGTTTGCATTGAATTTGAGTGGTTGGCAACGCGCGTTGGTAATGCAGCGCGCGCAGCTGACATATAGGTTGACAAATGTCAACAAAGAATTATACATATATAAAATTTTTCAAGTTTGTCGTGTGCGGTCGCAACCCAGAAAAAATACCTTTGCGTTAATCAAAAACAAAGATTATTGAATAAAATTGTACCCTAAAGTTCAAGTTCGGTATTTTTTTATTTCGAGTCGCCAAATCCGTGTCGGTAAGCGCGCCAGCCCACTCCCCTCGTTTGAAAGCCACGTGAGTTTGCGCACGGAAGCCGCCGCAACCCACGGGAGCACAACAGCCCCATCCTCGCCAAACCAGCATCCCCGCCGCGGGAATACCGCATCGCCGCCAGAAGGCAGTCACCGTCACCCTAGTAGCAGCGCACCATCCAGCCACCACCGCCGCAACCTTCGCCGACCTTCAACCGCAACGCCATCTCCGCCACTCCACGCCCGGATCGCAGCACCCTAAAGAGGAGTAGAGCCCCCCTTAATACATGGTCCTTCGAGCCGGATCACCCGCGGCTTATGATACAGTCCACTAGACGATCAAGTCGTCTAGGGGGGCCAGGATGTTTAAGCGACTTATGCATTTCCCGCATAAACAAAGAACAGCGAACACCCACACGCATTTATATTGCATTCCCGCATAAACCAAGTGCAGCGAACACACACACGCACTTGTGTTTAAAAGTATTTCGCTCGTTCTTAATTGGGTATGCATTTTTTATGCAATTCTCAAATATCTCTTCGCTGAACTTAGTGAAGTGATAAGTCGCTGGCATTTTCAGCATGGTCAACGCTAAAACAGCTTGGCTCATCACGATGGTCAACGCTAAACCAGCTTGGCTCATCATGATGGTCAACGCTTAACTAGCTTGGCTATCACGCGGTGCTTTGAGCATCGCTCCCACTCCACTCCCGGAGTACTTTTTGGTATGGTAGTAAGCTCCGGCTTACAAGCCACACTGGGGCTCTGCATGAATGCATCCTCAAATAAATCCCTGCTCATTGCACAGCAGCCTACGGCAGCTAGAGCATGACTCCTCCAGGGGAGTCGCCCCAGCTCATTTCCACGGCAGCCTACGGCAGCTAGAGCATGACTCCTCCAGTGGAGTCGCCCCAGCTCATTTCCACAGCAGCCTACGGCAGCTAGAGCATGACTCCTCCAGTGGAGTCGCCCCAGCTCATTTCCACAGCAGCCTACGGCAGCTAGAGCATGACTCCTCCAATGGAGTCCCCCCAAATAAATCCCAGCTCATTGCACAGCAGCCTACGGCAGCTAGAGCACGACTCCTCCAATGGAGTCCCCCAATTAATATATATGGTCACCTTTAAAATATTTAAATATATTAATTGCAGTTTTCTAAAAATTGGAAGGAAAAGCTCCAATTAGCCATTCCGGCACATTTTATATTTAGTTCAATTGAAGCACCAACTTTCATGTGGCAAGGAAGCATCCTACTAAAATTAGAACTCCTTCTCCATTTATCAACAACATAATTTATTTATTCATAATTTAACGACTGTATCTTCAAAACTTGAACAAACCATTTTCGCGAAATAAACTACATAGATCGAATATGTTGGTGTTAAATTCATTGTGTCCTAAATTAAAAAATATTTCTGAGATATGCAGTTATAGTATGTACAAGTACAAAATATGATTCTCTTTAGTAAGGCTAGGTTTAGGAGACACTTTCACTCAGAGACATTGTAGACATCCGAGAGTTGCATTTACCGCTTCTGAAAAAATTTTCTTAATTGTTCCAAAAGTCACTCCGAGCACGTTCACTGTTGATTATTTGATTTATATAATTGTTTGTTAAGCATTCATTACTATAGTTAATATATTCATCAGTAATAAATCATATTAAGTCTGTTCCAGGCACTTCACTATTTGCAGGCTTTTACAGAAAGCTGTTCCTGTATGCCACCTTCCATAAGCCGGAAACAGCTTTTTCGGTAAATCCTGTAAAACTTGATAATCCTGAAGTACCTGGAACAGGCTTATTAAGTATATTAAAATATAAACGTATATGGTAGAAAGTAAAAAATTATTTAGTCTTAATATGCACAACATTTTATATCGTGTTCCGAGCGCGTTCACTGTTGATCATTTGATTTCAATAATTTTATTTTTTGCAAGCATTCATTAATATTGTTTGATCGGAGTTTATATATTCTTCAGTAATTATTAATATAATTAATGAATAATTATTAATATATACATACATATATGGTAGAAGGTAAGAAATTATTTAGTCTTAATATGCACAACTTTTTATATCGTACCCCAAAGCTCCCTCCGAACGCGGCCACTGTTGACCATATCAGTACTATAGTTTGATCGGAGTTTTTATATTCTTCAGATATTAATCACATTATCTTTATTTCCTCTTCTTAGTTTAGGGTTGCATTTTATCTTACATACTAAAATATTCAGGGTTGCTAAATTTCATAAGTGATAATTATAAGTTGAGTTGCCACATACTGTAGAATCGCTACAGGGCTCCCCCGCGAGATATTACCTTATGCGGTTGCTGCCTTGACCTCGTAACTCGCGGTGGCAGCGTTTCGCAGACTATCGCCGAAGGAACTTTGGCTACTGTTTGCGTTCCTTCTTCCAAAAAAGCGGGCTTGAGGGTCAATGGAAACGGTGATAGTTTTTTGATTCCTGACAAGCTTGAAAAATTTCTCGTTCCGTTTCAGCACTTGGAATGGTCTTTCGTATGGTTGTTCCAATGCTGTACGCACGCGATCTACTCGAACAAACACGAATTCGCGGTTCTTAAGCTCAGGTTGGACGAATGTTAGCTGGGCCCCGTGGCGAGTTGCTTTTCCTGGCTGAGCAGCAGCAAAGCGCCGCCGTAATTGCTTAATGAATTCTGTTTCGTTTAGCTTACTTTCGCTAGGACAAAGAAATTCGCCTGGTACCCGTAATTGCGTTCTAAAAAGCATATCAGAGGGACTTGCTCGAAGATCTTGTTTGATGGCGGTTCGCAAGCCCAGTAGGACAAGTGGGAAAACTGAGCACCAATCCTTCGTTTTGTAGCACTTTATAGCGGCCTTAAGCGTTCTATGCCAGCGCTCTATCATACCAGTGGCTTGTGGATGATAAGCCGTTGTTTTAAAGTGTCGTATCCCCATGATACGCATTAGTTCGCCGAAAACTGTCGACTCGAACTGCAGACCTAAGTCGGTTGTGATCTGTACGGGTACGCCGAAATGTGCATTCCATCCCTCAATTAAGGCGCGTGCAATCGTTTCTGCGGACAAATCCGGGATGGGTATCGCGGCTGGCCACCAAGAAAATCGGTCTACACAGGTAAGACAGTATCGGTTATTATTCCATGTCGGCAGGGGCCCTATGATATCCAAGTGGATATGTTCAAATCGGCTATCCGCTTTGTTGTAATCACCAAGAGGAGCTTTTGTATGGCATTGAACTTTATTTTTCTGGCGAAGCTTTACGTCCTGGATGTGCGAGGCTGTGCAATTTTGCGATTACCTGTTGATGTAGGCTGCTTGGTACAATCGGCCGTAACCTAGCTTGTTTTGCGTCGCAGATCACGACTGCGGAGCTGTTGGGTGTAGTAATTTTCTTCAGCTGTAGTGATGAATTTGATGAATTGAGATATTCCTTCAGTTCCTCGTCTGAGCACTGTGCCTTCGCGATGACATCGAAGTCTAGCGCGCCCATCGTCTGAACTCGCGATAATAAGTCGGCAACGTCGTTCTCTTTACCAGGGCATGAATCACGTATGACGACAATCGTCTGAACGATATCGTGTCGAGATTGTGTTGCTTCATGAAAACCAAAAATTGTTTGATCGTTTGTGTGATATTGTCAACTCGATTCTAGTTTTGCTTCAAGTAACAGTAACAGTAATATGTAACAGCAACACAAATGCATAAATCAGTGTTTTTACGAGGTCGTTTTGTCAGTATCGTTTGAGCGACTATCGTTTTAAAGTTACGTGATTCATGCCCAGGCAAATGCCTTATGTCGGTAGAAAATTTGGAAATAAAATCTAGCTGGCGGGCTCTCGAGGACGTGCATCGTTTACGGTTTGTGTGGAGGCGTAAATTAAGGATTTATGATCAGTGTAAATTACGAATTGCCTACCTTCTAGTATGTGGCGAAAATGCTGAATAGCTTGGTAGACCACAACCAACTCCCGATCATGCGTTGAATATTTTGTTTACGCTGACGTTAGCCGCTTTGAGTCGAATCCGAGCTCCTGGTGTACATCACCGATGATTTGATGAACTACGGGCCCACTGCGTTGTTCGAGGCATCGGTCGTTAGAGTAGGTTGCGCAATCGGGGATATGTGACTCAGGAGAGTAGCGTTGGCCAGTTCATCTTTCCAAGCCGTAAATACTTCGTTGGCTTCCTCGTTCCAGTTTATGACGATTTTGTCGTGTTTGATGTTTCCCTTTATTAAATCTTGCAAATTTCGTTGGTTGCTCACAGCGTTGGGCAAAATGGGGCGATAAAAATTGAGCATTCCAAGAAAACGTTTCAGATCTTTGGCCACAGTTGGTTTCGGAAACTTGCGAATCGCCTCTACCTTTACATCCATGGGTCTGAGCCCTTCCGCGCTGATGGCGTGGCCGAGGAAGTTAACTTG